TTTTAGCCACGAAAGCTTATGCCCAAATAAATTTGTTAGTCTCTAAGGTGCCACAAGTACTCCTCGTTCTTTATGCTTAATGTTGTACTTCTAATAAAGGATTTAATTCTAATTTTTGCCTGGAGTGACTCTGGCTTTCAAATTATATTTAAATATAGGAACTTATGGAATGGTTTAGGAATAAAAATAAATTAACATGTACAGAAATATGAATTAAAAAAACAAATAGGACAATTTAACTGCTCTACATCGGAAAACCCCACACAGAGCTTATTTCATCTCGTGAATTTTTCTGCAGACTAAGCTAAGGGGGGAAAAAGAAAGGGTTTCTCTAATTGTTTTAAACCATGGATGAAAAGAACCTAACATGATCACCCTTGATTAACATGCTTATTATATAATATATAGACAGGGAAACCAGGGAGAGAACCCTGGGCCACGAAAATAAATAAGGCAGCTTTCATGAGAATCAAAACAAAGCATCATTCAGAGTCTGTAAACAACTGAGCCCGCTGATCCTAAAACTAGTATTATAGGTAGACATGTACCTCTTTCTCCCTATGTGAAATATTTAGATAACATCCTTAATGTTTTATTATTCATCATGTCTCCACATTAATCCTTTTTATATTGATAATTCCCAATGCATCCTCTGCCAAGAAATGGACTTTGTGCAGAGAAAAATCCATTTTCTAGTGCCAAAGATATTAATAATTAACATTTATATCATGAAACTTGTAATACCAGTTTGCTAAAATAAAGCTAAGCTTTTTATTATTATTTTAGAGTTTAATTTAGTCATCAAAGGTTACTCAGCTTCATGTTTATAAATTATACAGGGCAGGGACTTAATGCATCTTGATCAACCTGTTTTGGAATTATGACTGTACAAGTAAGGAGGTTCATAACCTTGTTTGAATATCTGCCCCAGCCTTTAAAGAAGGTGATTTATGGGATCGACAAACCCTCATCATTTCAAGAATCTGCATCTGAGAACAAGATTTTCCTCTATAACACAAAGACCAGAGCAACTCAATAAGTCTCTACTAGAAGCTAAAACTTTGTTTATGTAAGAGTCATACAAGGTCTGAGAATAGTCTGCCAGTAAAAGTATGGATTTTAGAACAAATAAATAGCTACATACTGCATAAAAAATTGGAAGTTTTTAAACTACATGTCTGATAATTCAGCACTAGCCATGCTATAGCATGTTCTAATTTACCATTTGGTATATGCTTTTTGAAAATACTAAAAGTACATACCAGTGGTCACCTAAATCATAGAAAATTCAAGCCCTATTTTACATGTTGGGTGAGACATTGAAAACTGCATGACTTAGAAATGCCAGTCCCATTAAAAGTTAATGAGACTTATGTTCCTAAATCACTTACTCTCTTTTGAAAATCTCACCCATTTTCATTTCCAGGGCTACTGCTGCCAATAACCAATATTTTTAAGATAGTACATTTTTTGTAATTATCTGGCATAATAAAAGCAGCCAAATTGTTTCCTGGAGAAAAACGAATCCAGAAACCCTAAATACTGCAGCACTTCTGTTTCACTTTCTGTACCAATGATGAGAGGATTCTGTGAAGACAGACTTTTTTTTAACAGGATCTGCAAAATTTCTGTAGTACTCCAACATATATGCCCATATTAAGCACCATAGACTGCCAAATTCCAGAGAAACAGAAAACACTCTATATTTGTGCATGGAATCACTTTTATGTGTTATTTCAAATGTTCTTCCTGAAGTTCTTACGGTGATCTGCAGAGAGAGGGGAGAAGAATTCTAAAGATAAAAGTAAATTCTAAATTCCATTTCTATGATTGTGGAATCATGGAAAGCAAGGGGCTGTGAATTTATCACAGTATTTACATTATTGTTACACATCCAAATGTTTGTGGGCACTCATCACCTATTTTCTAGGTATACTTCGCCCTAGTTAAGAAGAACCAAGCAAAATCACGGTGCAATGGTAATACAATTAGGGCGTTACCCATGCACCCAAACTTGTAGATTGTGCAAGGAATATGAGGTTGCGACCTATATAAGTGCAGGTAACAGTGCAAAAAGGGGATAAAACTGTTCTTTCTTTAATAATTGTATTCTCTGCCGTGCACTGTCAGGGACTGAAAAAAGCACATGCCCAGCTTTCATGAACTGAAGATAACCTTCCAGATGTAAACCAAGGCAGACCTGTCTTCCTGAGTCTGCAAACTGGCAGCTCCAGCGCTTCTATTCCTCCTCACAATTCTGCCAGGCACTGGCAGCATAACATTAACAAGGCTTGGGTCAGTTTCACTGCTGTTATTCAGAACCCCAGGGGTGAGGTAAACCTGAGAAAAATGGTGCCACTTTCAGAAAAACTCTAAGTTCAAGCAGAATCAGGCACTGGAGCTATTCATAGAGAAGCTCAAACTCCCCTTTCCCCCTCCCATGGATTAGGAGGAGGGAGGGGATTTCTCCCTTTGGGTCTTGAAAAAACAAGAGTGAAAAACAGGAGCCAACGTTTTCAAAAGGGGTGAAAAAAATCAATTTGTCTTCCCCCCGTTCCATCCTTCACTCCCTTCCCTTCCCTGCATCCCTCCCCCTTCCTCTTCCTCCATCCCTACCCCCTTCTTCCTCTCTCACCATCCTTCCTTGACTCCCTTCCATGCATCCCTCCCTAGGGTGACCAGATATCCCAATATTATCGGGACAGTCCCGATTTTAGGGGACTTGTCCCGTGTCCCAACCTTACATCGGTCGGGACGCCATTTGTCCCGATATCAGGGACCGTCCGGACCACAGCCGCGGCGCTGCCACTCACCGCTTCCTGGGGCAGCTCCCGGCGCCTGCCCACCGGCAGGAGCACCACGTGCTGCAGGGGCGGGGCTTGCAGGCGCCGGGAGCGGGCAGAGAGCCCTCCGCCCCCCCCCCACCCGGCGATCCTAGGAGCCAGAGGGACCAGCCTGCCGGATGCTTCCCAGGACGGGAGCCGCCCCAGGTGAGCACCGCCGGGACTCCCCACCTCACCCCCTGGCAGGTCCCTCTGGCTTTTAGGGTGAGGAGGGGCTCTGTGTGCTGCTGGCATCTGCAAGCCCTGCTCCATGGCTCCGGCAGCTCCCATTGGCGCTTTTCCCGGCCAATGAGAGCCACACAGCTCGCGCTTGTGGCGGGCGCAGCACGTGGAGAGTCTGGAGACTCCCCTCGCGGCTCTCACCCTAGAAGTCGGAGATCTCCCAGCAGGGCTGGTGAGTGCGGCCAGGGAAGGGGGCAGGGTGTGATGGTAAGTGTCTGGGAGGTGTGTGTGGGGTGCTGGGCTGTGAGGGTGTGGAGGGCCCTGGGCAGTGGGGGAGGTTTGTGTGTTTTGGGGTGCTAGACAGTGGGGGCCTGTTGGGGGGTGCTGGGCAGTGGGGAAGATCTGTGTGTGTCAGGGCACTGGGCAGCGTGGGTCTGTGTGTGGCATTGTTTAGTTGTGGTGGTGGGGCTGTGGGGAAGGGCACTGCGAAGGAGGGAGGAAGAGAGGGGAAATCTGCGTGTATTGGGAAACTAGCAAGTGGGGAGTTCTGTGTGGGGTGCTGAGCAGCTGTGGTGGGGCTGTGGGCAGGGGGCGCTGGGCAGATGTGTGTGCACATCACTGTGCATTTGTGGTGGAAGGGTTGTAGGGGGGCTCTGGGCATAGTGGATCCGGGGGTGCTGGGCAGGGGAGCTGTGTGGCGCAGCATGAGCCCACCCTCAACAGGAAGGGGCACGCTGGTAGCACAAGGCCAGGCGGACCAGTGTGCCTCTGGCTCCGGTCACGGCTGCGCACCTGTGTCTGTCTGTCTCCCCCCTTACCCCCCGCTCACCCAATGTGTCCTGATATTTCACGCTTGTGATCTGGTCAAACCCTCCCCTCCCCCCTTCTTCCCTTCTGTCCCTTCCCTGCACCCCTCTCCCTTCCTCTTCCTCCGTCCCTTCCCTGCATCCCTCCCCCTTCTTCCCCTCCGTCCCATCCCAGCCCCCTTCTTCCCCTCCGTCCCTTCCCTGCACCCCTCCCCCTTCCCCTCCCTCCATCCCTTCCCCTCTCTCCATCCATCCCTGCCCCCTTCTCCCTCATTCCCCCCGCCTTCCCTGCCCCCCGCCCTCCTCTCCGTCTCTTCCCGTCCAGCCCCTCCCCGCACAGGTGCGCGAGGCGCTGGGGCGCTGCCCGCGGGCGGGGAGGAGGGAGGGGGGAACTGCCTCCGCGTCGCGGACTCCTCCTCGGTGGCGTCAATGCCGCGCGCTGCCAGCCAGCTGCTTTGCTTGCGTCACGGCCCAGCCCAGCCCAGCCCAGCCCATCCCTCCCCCACGTGTTCCGAGAACGTTTGTTTTTGTGGTTGCCGCGGCGACGGTGGGCGGAGCCCGGGTGACCACGCTGGTTGGGCGGGGGCGCAGAGGGAGATGAAGTTATAAGTGGGGCGGCCCGGCCGCGCGGCGTGACAGTTCCGAACGGCCAGGGTCAGCGCTCTGGGCGCGCGCCCCGCCCGCGAGGACACGGCGGCGGCGGCTCCCGCACCCCCCCCCCCCCGCTCCCCCGCTCGCAGCAGCAGCGGCTCCCCCATGGCAGCGGCGCGAGCAGGGAATCCCCGGGAACCGTCTCGCGCCGCCCCCCTTCTGCTGCCTCGCTGCTCCTGCTGCCCGGCGGCGGCGGCGGCTGCGCCGCGGCGGGACCGCTGCTAGCCCCGAGCCACCGCCTGCTCCGCAGCGGCAGGAGCCGACGGGGGTTTGGCGGAGGGGGCGGCCGGGCCCAGCCTCCCCGTGGGAGCTGTAATTAAAGGATATTTGTCTCGCCGTTTTTTCATCTTTTCGGTGCAACTTTTGGACCCCCCCTTGGAGCCTCTCCCCGTCGGGCTCCCAGCCCGAGCGGCCGCCCCGACACGTTAATGAGGTGGGTGGTGTGTCTCCCCCCCCCCGCCCCTTGGCCTCTGACGGGTCCCGGGGGTCCCGCAGCGCGGAGCCGAGTCTGCGAGCAGCGGCTGAGTTACCCGGCCTGTCCCTTTCTCTCCCCCGCCTTCTCTGCAGGCAGCCCCCCGGCGAGTTGGACATGGCTCTCAGCGGCGCGCTGCTCCCCTCCATCGCGACCTTCGCCGCGGGCCCGGCGGGCAGGGACAGAGCCCTGAGGCAGGCAGGTGCCAGCAACGTGAGTATCGCCCCCCGCCTAGCGCTGGGCTGCGCCGCACTGAGTGCCCGGTGCGCGGAGCGCAGCTGCTCGGCTCCCCCTGGCCAGAGGGACCGGGGCCGGGCTGCGCTCAGCCAGTGTCAGCGGCGGGCTGAGGCGGGCTCCAGTTCCCCTTGCTGGCCGCTCAGTGTCACGCTGCTCCCTCTGGGCTGCGGCCGCGCTGGCCGGGGCGTGTGCCGGGCGCCGCAGGAAACCCTGGGGGGAGATGCGATCGGCTGCTCCGGCGGGGCAGCGCTCCGGGGCGCTCACCCCGGGCTGCAGCAGGCAGCGATCCCGCAGCCTCTCCTGGGCGCGGGCGCGGGCGGAGGAGCTGCCTGCTCCCCAGCGCGCCTGACGCGGAGCTCAGTGGCTGGGACTAGGGAGCGGAGCGGGGCGGGGGCCCTGCCCCAGCGGGGGCGCCGTGTCTCGGCGGGCCGTGGGTACAAACAGCGCGTAGCAGGAGCGACACCTGCGTGTGAACTTGTCTGCGCGTGGACGCGGGTCTCCCGTGGGTGCGGGTCTCCCGTGGGTGCGGGTCTCCCGTGGGGGCGTGCGCCCGGCCCCCGTGCAATGCCGGGGCACTCGAGCGGGGCCGGGGGGGGCCCGCCTGGCCAGCCCGCTGGTGACCGGTGCCCGTGTCTGTTCCTGCCCGCAGCGCTGGAGGGAGGAGCTGTCCCATCTCAAGCGGCTCCCGCCCGGGCTGACGGGGCGGCCCTACGAGCTGCCGGCCGAGCTGGAGACCCAGGCGAGCAGCGGCAGCCGCGGGGCCAGCCCGGCGCTCATGGCCCGCAGGGAGGCGGAGGAGCTCAACGAGCTGCTGGACTTCGACTTCATCCTCTCCAACTCGCTCATCCACCAGGAGCCGGCGGCCGCGGTGGTCTCCGCCGCCTCGCCCCCGGCCAGCGCCTGCCCCTCGGCGCCCGCCGCCAGCGCCTGCCACTTCACCTACCCGCTGCAGAGGGGGGAGCCCGGCCTCCTGTACGGCGCCGCCCGGGAGCCCGCCTCCGCCGCCCCCTTCAACCTGGCCGACATCAACGACGTGTCCCCGTCCGGTGGATTTGTAGCCGAGCTGATGAGGCCGGATTTGGACCCGGTTTACATGCAGCAGCAGCAGCAGCAGCAGTCGCCTCTGGGCAGCCTGCACGGGAAATTTGTTGTGAAAGCCACGGTGAACATGGGGGAATATAACCACATCAGTGTTAGCGGCAAGAACAACCCGGCTGCTGCCTGCACGGACAGCCCCGGCGCCCCTTACGGCTCCCTCCCCAGGATGTGCCAAAAAATCAAGCAGGAGGCAGCCCCTTCTTGCACCATTGCCCAGCCTCCTCCTGGCGCTAGCCAGCGAGCCCAGCAGCACGAGTTCCCCTTGGGGAGGCCGCTGCCCAGCAGGACTAACCCCTCCTTGGCTCCAGAGGAGATGATGAACAGCAGAGACTGCCATCCTTCCTCCCAGGGGCTAAGTCACCTGTCATTGCCCCCAGGCTACCACCCTGCCCCGGGCTACCCTCCTTTCCTGCCAGAACAGCTCCCGCCAAGTGCACTACAGTATCAAGGTCAGTCTAAGTGTCTAAATGTTTCGGGAGAGCCTTTAAATGTGCCTCCCTTGGTACAAGGGGTGATGATGCTGACTGCGCCCTCTTCACCTTTAGAGCTGATGCCACCTGGGAGCTGTCTGCCAGAAGAAACTAAGCCAAAGAGGGGACGTAGGTCGTGGCCCAGGAAAAGGACCGCCACGCACACCTGCGACTATGCGGGTTGCGGCAAAACCTACACCAAGAGCTCTCATCTCAAGGCACATCTTAGGACCCACACAGGTAAGGTCCATTCAATAAGGCTTTATTGGCATGGCACGCTATATAAGTGTTACCAAAGTGTATGAAAGAGATGGACCCCTTTCTGGGCTCTCTTTAGGGAGGTATAGTCTGCTCAGGTAATTAAATACAGCTGATCCAAAAATGTTGAATCTCCAGTTTTTTTGATCAGCTAAAAGGATGCATTTTTGTGGGGAAAAATAATCCCACTTTTTATTCAGTTTAAAAACAAATGCAATTTATGGTTTTACCTACTGGATTGGAGGTTACTTCATGGCTCAAAATGACTCAGACATTGCGGGGTGTTTTTGCAGACACAAGGTTTGTTTGCATGTCTATTGCTATGTGGCTAGTTAATTGGCAGGTAGTTGGAAGTCAAGCTGAATTTGTTGATCTAGATAGCACTGGCTCAGCTGTATGACAGGAGCCTATGTTGCAGGTATCTCCTTAGATTTTACTTTCTTTGCTCGTGGTTTAAAACTTTTTTCTTTTGTCCTGGTTTGCTCTTCTAACTGGAGAGAGTCTATTACTGGCATGTCCCTAGTTATCGCTGTTCTGAAATCAATGGAAGATAATGCTGTTGCTTGCAGGTGAAGCAAGATACTCCGAGAACATTTTTATAATTCTGTGTTAATGACATGATAAAATGTGTAGTCTACTTTTAAAAGTTATTCTTCTGCTTTATTATCACTGCAAGAAAACTAGTTTAAGGTTCCTCAACTACCATTGGAATACAAGTAAAATAATAAATTAACATTCATATTTGAGCTTGATCTCACAGGTATGGTTTAACTTTGCCACTGAAGAACGCTTACTGCAGTAATGAAGTTGGTGAAAGGATTTCTGATAAATAATATTCACTACTTTTGCCATTCTCTAAAAGCATGGTATAACTTAGATTTGAATTATTCAGGATCCCTGAATGAAGTTGTAGGAATTGGAATTTATTCTGTGAGCAGAAGAGGTAGGAAAGCGCTAAGGGACATCTCAGAGTTGAGAGTGGAAACTATGGTACTTATCATGTCCCAGCTAATGTCAATGTGAGCAGGACTGGGTTTTGAATTTCTCCTGAGATAAATGGCTAACAGTTTTTCTGGTATTTTCAGACTGGATAGATGCTTTCCAGAATGCCAATGTGATAAGTCTATAATCTTTAAGTAAAGTTCCCACTGAAGTCAATAGGAGCTTTGCTTAAAAGGCCATGAGATTGAGCCCTCTAATTTTTTAATAAAATTGATCTAATGAAGTTTACAGCAGGTTTTTTAGTCCTGAAATCCACTATAATCTAAATCCATTACAATCTGAGCTGTTTCTGATTGATACTTGTTTAACAATCCTCAATCAGCAAAATGCATATATGTATTGATACTATTATCTGAGCTTTGTATTCTAAATTCCTGCATACAAGATAGTCTGGAAATAACAAGTGTTGTAGTTAAGGTTTCAATAAAAGGAACTTCCATATAAGACATTTAATCATACTGTCATGCAAAGAATAGGTGTTTTTTGCCCTTTGTCTGATTTTAGCATCTTTGTAGCTAGATATATAGAAAGTACCACAAAAAGCCTTATTGATCTTATTTTCTTTAATGAAAACATTAATTTTCCTGTATGTTACCAAACTTCTTGAGTGAAGATATTAATAGAAGGCTGGAATATTATCCTTACTGGAACATACTAAAATATGTGCACGACTGCAGACAAATATGGACTTAATTGACGTGATTTTTTTTATTATTATTATTTTTGAAGGAGAAAAACCATACCACTGTGATTGGGAGGGCTGTGGATGGAAATTTGCCCGCTCCGATGAACTTACCCGTCACTACAGGAAACACACCGGCCACCGCCCTTTTCAGTGTCAGAGATGTGACAGAGCATTTTCCAGGTCAGATCACCTAGCCTTACATATGAAGAGGCACTTTTAATCAGAAGCAGTGGATCTTTCCCATACTGCCATAAGAGATTCAGTATTTACAGCAGACTGTCTTCCACACGAGGGAGAAGCCCAGCTAAAGCACTACAAGGAATCATGGTGAAGTCTTCCAAAGAGTGGAAATAAATAGATAATCAAATGCAAATGTTGGAACTCTTCTTTTTTTAATTATAAATTAAAGAAAAACATTGGGGTCAATGACTGGATCTTCTATCATTCCATTTCTAAATCCAACTTGAATATTTCTGGACTACAAAATGCCAAGGAGTGACTGGAAGTCAAGGATATCAGGGTTAAATAGACTGCTTGTTGGGTGGGAGGGGAGATTACACAGGGAGATTACATTCCCTTAAATCTTGTTTCAATGCAATATGAGATGTAAATGTCATCTTGTCTTTTTTTCCTTCTAAAAGCCATTACTATGTTAAAAGAGGAGGAAGAAATTCAGGTACAGAATTGTTTAAAAGCCTATTTCATGGTGCTTAGTGACTGTTGGTTCTAAAGGTACCAAAAACAGGAAGCCAAAGTTCTCAAACTGCTGCATATATGACAAGGAAATATTTTTGTCTTCCGATCTACAATTATGACCTAAGTCAGGTAAATAAACCTGATTTATTTCTTTTCTTTTTTTTCTTAAGAAAAAAACTTTATGCAGACAGTCTGTAATGCACTGTGGTTTCAATGTGCAATAATTTGTACAATGGCTTATTCCCAAATATGCCTTAAGCAGAACAAATGTTTTCTATATAGTTCTTTACATAATAAATATGTAATATAAATTTAAACAAACGTCTATTTTGTATATTTGTAAACTACAAAGTAAAAATGAACATTTTGTTGGAGTTCGTATTTTGCATATTCAAGTTGAAAATAAGTTTTAAATAAACCTATAATATTTTATCTGAATGGATTTTCCACTTTTTTCTTCTATGCGTTTGTGTCTAAAGAAACCTTGCTTTTAAATACTCCTGAATGGCTCAATACCGCAGTCCTTTACTCAGACAAAGCTCATCGGGCAAAGACCACAAGCTTAGGCTCATACATTTCCGGTACTGCTATAAAGCTTTCTCTTTAGGAAAAATGCGCTGAAAACTGGTCGTTCTGAATAGTGAGTCCTTGCTCACCTCTCTCTCCTCTGCACCAGAGAAGCATACTTCTCAGTTGTAAACTAAGGTCTTTTGAATTACTCATGGTTAGAGTGTAACCAACTAAAATGTCTGTCTGAGACTTAAGAGCATTAAAATAAAAAACCCTTAATCCTCAGAAACTGGAAGTCTTTCCATGGTTTTGTACTGAGCAAACTTAGTGTTTGTGTGTCTTGAGTGCAACACCCATATGACTACCCGATCTGAAATTTTGACAGTTTGAGTTTTCCGCTTCTGTTCCTGTAAAGTCACATACATAAGCTGTTATGTTTACACTGTTTATCTTTTCATACTGCTGAGAAGTTAGAGTAATATCTTGAAAAAATCAACTATATGCTAGTAATAAACTTGGGGCATTGTGTATGTAATTTCTTGGCATTACACGGAGTAGTATAACTTCATGGGCACTGAAAATTCCCCATGACATGAGAATTTTGAGTGTTCAGGGAATACAGGTGTGCATGGCCCAAGTTACTAACAAGAAGCTCAGTTAAGCCATATTGATTCTTCTGCACTGAATTCAACAAGCTGTGAATGCTAGGTATTAATATTGAACAAATCTTCAGGATCTACAAAGTCAGTGGTTACAACTAAAGTGCTTGATCCTGAAAACACTTCAACATACCCTTGTACCTTTCTCATTTTATTGAAGTAAATGGAACTAGTTATATGAATAAGGTAGTTATTGTTATTGCAGTAGCATGTAAGGGCCCATGATGGCTCAAGGCCCCCTTTGTGGTCGATGTGGTATAAATACATAGACTGACTTGTGATCAGTGTTAGCAAGATCAGGCCCAAAACTGGGACTTACTGTAAAAAGAAGAAACAAATTGTCTTGACTGGTTTAAAAATGTCATCTAGGTATTTTGCCTATATATATATATATCAGAATGAATAAAGTAGAACATGGAAAACAAGTATTACTGATAAGGTCAATTTATATTTTGCAGTTTGTCAAAACAAGTGGTAATATCTACTTGATTTTTTTTTCCAAATCTGTCTCAAGAACGCCGTTGGATTTCACATTTTGACGTGTTCTTTCTTTGTGATGAAGTCCATGCCTTACTGATTATATGCATTCTTGTTCAGTTGAAAGGTGCCTTGACTTGTTTGGCGTACCGGTAATGGGGAGTGAAGGGGGGGAGAGAGAGTATCCTTTATGATTTGCAAATAAATTTAGCTTTGTCTATTTGATAAAGTTAGGAGTCACTTTTGATCAGCAGGATTTTTAAAGTTTAAAATATTTAAAGTAGTAATTGTTTTTGACCTTTTTATGTTGCATTGCCTCAACTATTGATGCTGCCATGGAGGGATTATCAAATGTCAAAAGTGGACAACAGTTTGACACGTTGTGTGAACCTGCCAAGCTTTCCTGTGTTTGTGCTATGCCGAAGCATATTTGCAACTCTGTAGATAACATGTATGTACAGATAACTTGACTGTGAATCAGAGACCCTGTTCATCTTCAGAATCAAGTATATCCTCATTCAGTCTATTAAAATCTAGCTCTAGAAAAACACGATCATTGGGTAAATCTTATACCTGTTTTGAGCTTCAAGAGCACTGTCATGACAATGTCTAAGCACTTTATAAAAAATAATAAAGATGCCCGAACATTTGGAGACACATGGTTATTAAAGTGAACTTTATTTTTCCTTTGATTTCACAGGCCTGAACTTTATAGTTGCTCAAACAATGTTTTGAAAACAGGGATTCGTTCTCTCCCTCCCCCATCCAAAATTGTTTCCTACCATAGGCTGCCTCTCGCTTATATTCTGACTTTCATTCAAAAGCTAAATACAGATGGAAGCAGCTCAGTGAAGTATTTTTAAAAATACTTTTAAACAGCTCCCAAATGGTACTGCATATACTGATGGAGACAGGGCCAGCCTACAATTCTTCACGGGCCAGGGCAAAGCCCATGTCTCTAATCCTTGTTCTTTAGGAGAGCTCTTGGGAAATACTGAAACAAGCAATTCTACCAGTTGTACTTTGATAGGCAGGTATAGCTAAAAATAGCATGCTGAGCTAGCCACCTGTTCCATTATGTCTTGCCTCCTGGAGGCGCATTTAGCTGCGAGAATACAAAGGCAGCTGGAGGCACAATATAGACGATAATAAATGCCTCCTATAAAGGGTATGCAAAAAACACCAAACAATTTTGTTATACAGTACACCTCTACCTCAATATAACGCAAACTGATATAACATGAATTCGGATATAAAGCGGTAAAGCAGTGCTCCGGAGGGGCAGGGCTGCACACCCCGGCAGATCAAAGCAAGTTTGATATAACGCGGTTTCACCTATAATGCGGTAAGATTTTTTGGCTCCCGAGGACAGCGTGCTATCGGGGTAGAGGTGTACCTTGAAAAATCATATTCAGTTTACCTCATCTGCAAGGGGTAGTAAAGCAATGTACATATACTAATGTTTACAGCCTGGGATACTTATGTGTTTAGGCACCTTAAAAGAAGACATCTTAAAAATGGCCTCATTGCCAAAGGGAACTGAGTACCCAATAGCTGCCATTCACTCATGGCCACTTTTGCAGATGCCTAGAGAAAGCCCCCACATTGGAAAAGGCTGTGCAGAGTCAAATACAAACTACAGCCACTATCAATCCTTCTCCACCATAGCCCTAAACGTCCCCTGTAAGCATGCTTGGTGTGCAAAGATGAGCCGTTTACAAGATGACACACGTCTGTCTTCAAGGTGCCAGGTTTTCAGAAGTGTCATTTGCATACAAATATACTCAAGGCAATAGATGGGATTATTGCTCATTAATCCTTTGTTTCTGTCTGTTGTGGAGTTTAGAGTGGAAACTTGTCTACTTCCAATTATTCCATTACTTGTAATCTCATGCAAATGCTTCCATCTCTTCCCTATCAGACATTTTTACTTTAATAAGAGTTTCTCTTTTAGTGGATTTACTACTCCCCTGGGGACCAAATCCTGCTTCCACTGAAGTCAACTCTGAGACACACATTGATTTCAATTAAGCTACTGTAGATCAGGGAATCTCTTCCCCTTCGCTTTAAGAAGGTGAGGTCAGAGGAAGTGTAGATAATCACCCGTAGTGATTTAATGCTCCGTTGAATACGTTTACCATGTAGTTCTATAAATGTATCCTAGACCTTGGGCCCCTCCTGCTTCCACTGGGGTCAGGGACAAAACTTCCATTGGCAGCAATGGATCAAGAACATGTACTTTGGCTTTTATGCATTTATCAGGCATTTCAAATAAAGAGGCTAAAATAGTCAAATAACTCAACTGTATTTGTTAGGTGCCTTGCTGCTCCTTCTTGTTATGCATAAATTCAGTTGTTTTTGCATAACTGGGGACCTTGAGTGCATTATAAAATCATAACTTGTCATGCTGGAATGTTCTGCTACAGAAGACTGGAAAGGCTAAGCACTACGAGCATCGTTCTGAGACAATGAGCACAGCCTCGGGGATGGGAAACTCCCCCAAAATTGAATGACAGAAAGCCTGACCCTTAACTCAGGGATCCTGCATTGATTGACTGCATTTGGGAACATTTCCCCCTCTGCAGTGCCCTGGGGTGACTTGAGCTTCCATTGTCATTAGCTCTGGTGGCAAATTATAGCTGCGAAGTTTATTATAGGCACGGCCCTAGAGACCAGCTGTGGAGGTACTCTCTGGGGCATGCATGCCCGTGGTGGTGGTTCCACTGCTTTTGTTCTCACTATACTTCAGATAAGCGTCTTCTAGGCTGCATTGCACCCTTAGAGGCTTGCATATGAACCCTCATAACAGAAACCCTATGTATGAACCATGCTTACTGTTGCAAAGGAAAAAGAAAGTCTTTTTTTACTAGCATCTCCTCTATGTTTGGAGTGTGAGTGTTGTAAGTGATCCAGAAGGCTAATGATACTAGCAGCTGATCACAGCAGGTGTCTCCCACATGAGTTAGATTTCCTAAGGTGATGCTGCCCTCATTTTTGAAGCTCTGACTCATAGGTGCTGCAACTAGGGGTGCTGCTGCTGCACCCCCTGGCTTGGAGTAGTTTCCATCATCTACAGGGTTTACAGTTTGGTTCAATGGCTCTCAGCACCCCCACTATACAAATTGTCCAAGCACCCCTCCTCTGACTTTCTCCATAGTAGAGACTGGAATTTTTAAGTGAATCTATGCAGTGAAGTTTGGCAATATGAATGGTTACTAATCAATTAAAGTGAAAATGCCAAGCTCATTTCACCTAGGAACTTGTATCAGATTCAGAAAGGGATTATAAATGTCTTATCAATACAGCTATCTATCTGCAACTCGAAATATTTTTGCATAATTTTGTTTTGGGTACAGTAGGCTTGTTTGTGTGGTACAAGCCGTGGCTTGCTCAATCTTGTAATTCAAGTTCTGTGCTATTAAGGTTTCAGCCTTATTCAACAAAAATGATGCAGCTTCTCCTTATTGGCTGATTAAATATCTTTAAACAATTATAGCAACAGGTATCAGGCAGTTCTTCAAAGCAAACCTCCCTTGCAACAATTTGCTACTGATGGGGTAGATGGTCTGATATTTAACTTTGTACCACCAAAACATGTTATCTACTTGAAATTCATTATGTATCACTTAATGGCTGATCCTGCACCCAGTGCAGACAACAGGAGTTTTGCCATTGTCATGAGTAGGTCCTAATACAAACCTGATCTATAGCTCATTGAAATTACTCCCATTGACTTCCCTGGCCTTCAGATCAGACCCACAGCTACC